CACATTCCACGCCATATTTACAGAATTATAAATAAATAAGGTAATAACAACATAATATCCAGCGAAATTAGAGCAAAATAAAATATCATAATGAGTAAAGAAAATAATAATAAAAAATAAATAAATAAAAGAGAATAAAATGTTCATTTTAGAATTAGGTTTTCAATTTGGAATTACCATATTCGCAGTAAATTTGTTGATTCAATCTGAAATAGACTTGGATAAAATAGACAAAAGTAGAGTCACTCTTTGCCAATGACATATTCGAGACATAATTAACACTAAAGTGTCATTATAATAGCAAGAAGGAAACATGGAACAAATGACATGACATCTCTTAATCACATTTAGTTTGGTTCCATTTCTCCTCTACGTTGGTTTGTTAGTACGCTTAAAGGATAAATGTTTCATCATTCTTCCTATCATTATGTTAATTGTGCTCAGAATGTCAGGCCAAATAACGTATATCATCTTATTGATCTGAAGGTTACTTAAACCCGTCACGCGTCAAAAGACGCCTTGGTTCTGAAAACGACGAAGGCAAGCCATTGCCAAGTAGGAGTCGAGATTAGATAATGCTCTCTGATCTTGTACATCTGGCGAATGGTACTGCTGTTCCAGAGGCTGATTTGAATAAGGGATGGGTAATCCAGAGAGAGCCATCAGCCGAAACGGTAGGCCCCCTCTTCTTCAGGAATTCAGAGGTCACATTCAAACCTTATCGCTAAAGGTACTATTTCGCTGGCGCGGTTCACGACAGCGACCGCTATTCCACGCTGCCAACTGCTGTTGGCGTACCTATTTCGCTGAAACTGCTCACTGCGGTTGTTATAACCTGCCTATAACCTTCGAACATTTCGCTGTATCTTTGAAGATAAAAAGATGGAGATAATATAATAATAAAAATGAACATCCTATAATAATGAACATCTCTGACTACCGCTTTTTTATTTGAGTTGGAAAAAGAAGAGAAAATGTTGTTCATAAAGAGAAGGAATATCAGTATTTCGATGTGATGCTCATCATCAAAGTCCCTCTGATACTAGATATTATTAGTTTGAAAAGTAATAATAATTAATACATAATTGATTAGTAATAAATATCATATATTTTTTAATTAAATCCCAGCAGGCGATGTTTTATAGTTTTATCAATAGTAATCAGTAAATCACCACTTTAATTAAAAAATACAAATCGATTTTTCAATGGGTGGATTTTAGTATTTACCTGACGATAAAATTTGTTGGATTCTTTAATTCATTTAATATCGTTTGTATTTCGCTGTAAAATATTGCTGGTGGAATAAATAAATAAATAATCTTGTTACTTCAACCTTAAAAAAATAATTTACTATTGCATTGTTTCAGTTTTAAACAATATTTTTTATAATTTTGCCAGACTTGAAAGAAACATAGAAAATAAAACGTATCGACGTGACTGTTATCATCAAAACAATACTCTGATATGATAGCATAACCTACAACCGCCGAACCGCCAACAGCTCCACTGCTTCAAGAGGAGTCAGATCTGAGCAGCTTAGATATGACGTCATACCTAGACTGCCGAGCAGCGCCAGCGAAATAAGTTCCTTTCTATTCAACTAAAGCAGTGGTCAACCGCGAGCAGTCGCGGTCGTGGACCGCGCCAGCGAAATAGTACCTTAAGGTCGACGGGCTCAATTTTTATTCACTCTATATTTTCATTGAATACATTTTTATTCAGTTAACATTGATTATTTAATAACAAATAAAGTGAGATTAATCGTGTTATTTTTCAATCAATAACGAATAAATATCTCAGTTTTATTGATTGAAATAAAAATAAATTTTCATTCATTATCATTGATTTTTTATTCCAATAAAATTTTCCCATTTGTGCTCAACATCCCTACCAATGCAATTTCAGACTGAAGAGTCAACACTCTCAGCATTGCATTGTCATGTTAAATAGAAGGAAAATACCATAAATAATAAAGAAATGGAACTACTCACATTTATGGATGTAATGGGCTTCTGACAATATCTCACATGATAGAAAGTATTATCAGGAGAACTGGGTATAGTTCAACTAATATCTCTGGGATCAAATAAATGCCAATAAATAAAAGCATAACAGCTTCGACATTATAAAAAAAAAAAGGTTAAAATTAAAATAACAAAAGGCTGTTCACAAGGAAGTGTTCTTCCATATCTTCTGAGGATCATTGATAATATCTTTAATAAACTTAACAGTGAAGTTTTGGACATTGAGAATATGCTGATAACCTAGCCATAATTATAACAGCTAATAAATATGAAACCATATTAATGGAAAACTGCCAAAGATCTAAACAATAGCAAGGAAATGGTGTCAGGAATAGAAACTAAGCATTAACCCAACGAAAACCATTATAGTACCTTTCTCCTAGAAAAGGAAGCTCCTAGAAAGTAAATCTAGAACTTTTACACTGAGAGGGAAATGTATTAGCATATCAAATCAGGTTAAATGTCTATCAATAATCCTAGATCAAAAATGTAATTCCCAAATAAACAGAATCATAGAAGTCAATGCTTCAAGATGGACTTGAAAAGGTTATCAGGCAAAATTGAGAAATAGGACCCAAAAGCTTGAATGGTTATATAATAGGGTTGTTTGATCTATGATAGCCACCTACTTATGCATCAACAAAGGAAGGAAAACAAAGGAAAGAATTATCTATTTTAAAATTAATTGTCTCTGACCTTATGGGAAAAAAATTGGTGCAGTGCCTGCATCACACAACTTTCACTTACCAACCTTGGAGTACATAAGTATTTTTATGTATAGAGAAGTCAAAATGAAAATGACAGTATAACTCCATTTAAAACAATTAATTATTATGTTTTTCTGGCCCATCAAATTGATTAAATTCATACCTTTGCATCACTTTCCATTTCCTTTTAATACTGTGTATAAAATCAAACATTACTAATGATTCTGAGGAAAAATGGATCTTTTGGAAAATTTGAATTTTATCAGAAACATTTATCACAAATGTTGTTGAAAAAATAACTTAACGATAGTAAATATTGTATATTATTAGATTTATATTAGTACATATTCAACAGTTAGCATGAAAACCTTTTTAAAAAATTATCTATAAGTGATATATCAAAGTTAAACAAACTATGAAAGCCCTGTACAAACGAATATCAAGTATCTGTAAGGGAAGAGGATCAGCAAAGGTCGGACGCTCTCGGCTGTTTCCATATAACTTCCAAACCTTGTTTCTCCTTTAGTTACAAATTTTTTTCTTTATCCATTATATTTAACCATTTTTTATATCAGTTTCTAATTTGAAATGGTAAATTATTTTAAATAAAAAAAAATTAAAGGTACTTTAGAGGAATAAATTTTAAAAGTTAAGCCTTTAAACCCTGTTAGAAAACATTAATGAGGATAAGGCCTGCATTATATTTAAAACAGCTTAATTGTACACTGATATAATGAATATAATCATAATCTCCAGAGCTATTTTTATGGTTATGAGAAAACCATAAAAATATATTAAATCGTTGATACCAAGTGGAACTTCCAATAAGCCGATTTTGATTAAAAAGTTGCTTTAACATCAAAGGAATGTAGATATCTTAAATAAGAAATTTCAGTTGAGTACAACTTTTCATTTTTGACACACACATACACTGTTTACGCCAACATGTGATTATTTTCACCATATCATAATATGGGGGGTCAATTTTATTTTGTTCATGAATAACATAGATTATGTATTTTATTCAGTTTTGTTTCCATATCATTATGTGGCAAACCCTTTTGCTTATTTGTATAATTACATCATTAAATATTATATGTACAAGCCCTAAATATTACGTTCACTACAAAGACGTCCCAGAGACGATGTTTTCGGCTACTTCCGGGTCAGCCCGCCTCTTGTCATGTCACTTCATATCGAAGGCAAAACGTATGGCAGCTGGAAGCAATGAGATCAGAACTACCTCCATGAGGTTCTCAGACCCATCACCATTTCTTCTGGCAAACCCATTGGTTTTATCACCCTAGGTTGTGACAGCGACTTATCACATCTGGGACATTATTCTCTTGCAAGAGGTCTGTCAGCTGTACCAGTGACGTTAAAACACTTAATATGACCGGCCGGCTGGAGGTTATGTTTTATTTTTAATTTATGAACAGTATAAGGAGAGTGACGCCCCTTTAAAAACATCTAAGGACACCACGGGTCTCCAGTTTTAACAACTCAGAATAAAAAAACATTATTTTCTTAAATTTTAAAACCTCATATTGAGGCTAACTTGAACTTGAGTACTGATTCCTGTTCCATTATCAGTAGTGATCTCTATAATGTAGTTGCTATTCAGATAGCATGCTATTCTGATATGGTGAAGGTGCCAAGTTCAATACTGGTTCTGCCATATTCCTTTTTCCCCCCTTTTTATTAAATAAAAATATCAATTTTAGATTTATTTCCATTTATATAAATTTTTCTGTACCACATTTCAATCAATTAATTTAATTTAACATTTAAATTATATTAATTTGTATCGTATTGTATTAATTAATTAAAACTCATTTATAGAATTCACACAGTAAATTTCTATTTCTAAGATTTGTTTTTTTATGCTTATGTTTCAAGATGATTTGTTTCTTTCACTATTTTATTAATTTCATTTTATGATTATGAGAAATATTTTTAATTCATTAATTTCTTTGTGCACATTTAATTCATTTTTTATTTTCTCAATATATACAATTATAGAATTACTGCTATTCGCCATTTTATTAATCCTCAATGGATTTTAACATATTAAATAAATTAATTAATTAATTAAGGCTACAGTGCCTATGGATTTGGTTGTACAAAATTGGCTGTTCACACTTGAACGCCCGCTGCCTCCACAAACACCATTTTGAGGGACTTGGTAATTTGAACTCAGGGAACTTTAAAACATGTATTTCCGTTGAAAAGTCAGATTCGATAATATTCACGATCGCAATACTTTCCTTACTATATACTACATTTATAGGTAAGTGAAAGTAAAAATAAATAGGGCTTTAATAGAGTATAATCATTTTAATATTAAGCTCAGAATATACAGAAATAATAAACTAAAATCATTTAACAAACATGGAAGACAATATAAAAATGTTGGATAAAGAAATTATAATTTACAAAATAAAATGTGAGAATTGTAATTAAATAAATATAAGAGAAATATAAAAAATAAATAAATAAGCACTTGAATTGTATACCATAAATTTTTTTTGCAAAAGTACTAAAAATATCAATATAACAGCACTTTCACAACACATTTCCCTGTACATAATAAATTTTGAGGGGAAAATACCCTAGGGAATGTACTTAAAATTGAAATTGGAACATCTAACCTGATATAGAGATATTAGTGATGTTTCTAGCCAGTGCTCATCCTAAATTTTGATTAAGTTTTAGTTTGAATACTAAAGTAATAATGGATTAGATAAAAAAAAAAGATACAAAAAACAAAGACAGTCATAATAGAGTTTAAAATCTTAGTAATTATCACACTAAGATGTCATTATAGTTAATACTCACAACCTTCTTCAATACTTAAAAAATAAATTACAAAAGTACAAAACAATAAAAGTAAAAGGAATGAGTAATACAAACAAAGTAATTTTTACAAGTTAAAATAATAATTAATTAAAATAATGATTTTGGAGACATAATTTATCTCATTAAATTATCATAACAACAACATTATATAATTATAATTTTCTTAATTATTTTTTCAACCTTTTGTATATGTCTGTGTCAAATTCTGGATTTTTTCTTTTTATTTCTTCTATTGCTTTCTCTGCTTCCATGTTAACTTCAGCTGTGTGAAGCTTATAATTTTCAGTCCATAATGGGCACCTAAAACCAATTGATTTCAAAACTTATTTATTAATAATCTCATTATTATTTGTATGACCAGGATGAATGGTAGGAGGAAAAGGATACAAGAGGATTGGAACATGGGCTTAATATTTCTATCCTAACAAAAGTTATCATGTACAAGTATGGTAATTATAGACAAATATATAGCACTTCACTCCAAATAAATAGTCAATTACAGAGGCATAGCACTTCTTCTGGTCGCCTATAAAATAATGACTAATATTCAACTAAATCGGATATATCCGTATTATGAAAACATAATAGGCGACCATCAAACAGGATTCAGGAGAGGAAGGAGTATGTTAGATCAGATATTCATCCTAAAACAAGTACTTGAAAAACGATGGGAAGTAGATCAGGACGTACACACATTATTTGTCGACTTCAAATCAGCTTATGACTCCATTGACAGAAACTGTCTTTGGAAGATCATGACTGAGCTGGGTGTTCCCAGGAAATTAGTGAGGTTGACGAAGGTGTGTACAAATGATCCTAAATGCAGGGTACTAATACAAATAGAAGTATCTGAAGCCTTTGAAGTTCGAACGGGTTTGAGGCAGGGAGATGGACTCTCGCCGATGCTGTTCAACTTAGCACTAGAGAAAGTAATAAGAATAACATATCATGTGAAGATGGAGGGGTGGACATTGGAATGAAACATAAAATCCTAGCATATGCTGATGATATAGCTGTCCTCGGAAGTAATCGAGAGACTCTCTCGGACTCCATTAAAAGATGCAGAGCAAATCGGACTACAGGTCAATGTAGATAAAACAAAATACATGATAGCCGAAACATCCACCCTAATAACATGATCTGTGTGGACTCTAAGTCATTCTCGAAAGTAGACAGATTCAAATACTTCAGTTCCACAATAACCTCAATAAATGACCAACTAACAGAGATAGACCAGCGAATAACAAGCCCGAACAGATCTTTCTTCTCTCTTTCAAAGGTACGGAAATCCAGAAAAATCTCCAGAAATCTCAAAATAAGGGTGTACAACGCTGTGATTAAGCCAGTTCTACTGTACGGTTGTGAAAACTGGGCTCTAACCGGCACATTAGAAGCCAGAATTGAGATTCAAAAGAAAAGTTCTACAGAGGATAATAGGACCTATATGGGACCAGAACCTTGACACATGGAGGAGAAGGAACAATAAAGAACTACTGAAAGAAACGGGTCAGTCAATATCTCATGACATGAAGGCAAGAAGGTTAAGATGGGCAGGTCATGTAGCTTGTAGCAATTCATCAGGACGCCTTTACACGACAATGAATGCCAGAGCAGTAGGCAAGAGACCACGTGGGAGGCCAAAAACCAGATGGATAGATAGGATAAACAAAGATATGGCTGAGCTTCATGACACAAACTGGAAAGCAGTAGCCCAAGATAGGCAGAGGTGGAGAAGGCTGGTTCAGGCGGCCAAAGATCTACAAGGTCTGTAGAGCCAACTGACCGACATATAGCACTCCTAGTTGATTATGAGATAATGACAAATACTCTTCTAAACTGTAGATATATATTATTTATAACTTCTAAAGTGAAATTGAGTTAATGATTTAATTTTAAAAAATTTAAACAATCTATATCTAAAAGTCTTACTTTCCAGCATTTATTTCATCAGTGTCATCACTAAAATGAGAATATCCACTGATTTGTTTTCTGCAAATATAACACATTAATGCTCCACAAATGCATGTCATTTTGTTGCACCCATCTTCCCTGACAAACTTTGAACCACATTGATAGCAATTTCTAAAAATTAATTTTATACATTAAAATAAAACCTTCATAAAGTAAGAAATATAGATCATACATAAAAAGGAAGTATGGGAAAAGATATTCAATTAAATATTAATAATATTCTAATTAAATTATTCATTATTGTTCACAGTAAAACAAGCTAGCAATTTGCAGGATAACAATTATTCAACAAACATTTAAGTCAATATGAAGAGAATATATTATTTGAATAAAGGAACTAACTAGAAGAAATAATTGGGTGTGGAAAGTCACATTAGGTGTGAGGAATTAATTTTATCAGGTCAATAAAACTAATACTAATACTTTGATTGACTTAGAAATGTTTGTTTATTGGGGTTTAATGTCATTATCAACTCTAAAACTATGGCAAGAAGGACAATACAACAACTAAAACAGTATCTAAATGTTTTCAGGTTCATGAAACAATGCAAGAGAGTGATTCATTGTGATATTATAGGCAGAAAAAATTAAAGGTTTAGTTTACACTGAAATAATATCAGCGTCCAATTGATGAGCATAGTAATCTCCACCGGAGAGAAACCACAATAATACAATATACTTTAAATCAACAATGTTTCATAAAACTTCCTCCCTCATGCTCCAAAACAGCCCTTTTCGACAGTTTGAGGCCATTCAAAACCTTAATATCGTTAAAAAAACCACAAATGGGTGCCGAAAATTGGGGGGTTTCACCCAGGTACTTATACTAAATTTCTTTGATATTGATATTTACTTTCTCAGAAGAGGCAATCAGAGAAATTTTAAACCAGAAAGAATGACCAAAAGAGAAAGAACTTTGATTTGACGAGGATTGCTATCTGTGACAGAAAGATGGAACACCGCAAATAAAATGATGATTCAGAGATGCAGCACCAATCTGTTATGACATAAGTAAGAAGAAAAGGATGCACAAAACAGAAAATAGATCCTGGGAGAAGAGATGGAAGAGAGAAATACTTTATTTTAAGCAGTGCTGCTCAACTACATAAGATTGTTTTATGCATAGCATCATTATTAATCCTTTTTGGACATAGCACTTCATTATACATTAATTCATTATATATATATATATATATATATATATCTTTTTTTTTTTGGATGGCACTGCAGACCTTGTAGATCTTTGGCCACCTGAACCAGCCTTCTCCACCTCTGTCTATCTTGGGCTACTGCTTTCCAGTTTGTGACATGAAGCTCAGCCATATCTTTGTTTATCCTATCTATCCATCTGGTTTTTGGTCTTCCACGTGGTCTCTTGCCTACTACTCTGGCATTCATTGTCGTGTAAAGGGGTCTTGATGGATTGCTATGAGCTACATGCCCTGCCCATCTGAACCTCCTTGCCTTCATGTCATGAGATATTGACTGATCTGTTTCTTTCAGCAGTTCTTTATTGTTCCTTCTCTTCGATGTGTCAAGGTTCTGGTCCCATATAGGTCCTGTTATCCTATGTAGAACTTTTCTTTTGAATCTCTCAATTCTGGCTTCTAGTGTGCCGGTTAGAGCCCAGGTTTCACCCCATCATTTGTATACGCCTTCGTCAACCTCACTAATTTCCCGGGAACACACAGCTCAGTCATGATCTTCCAGAGACAGTTTCTGTCAACATAGTCATAGGCTGATTTGAAGTCGACAAATAATGTGTGTACGTCCTGATCTACTTCCCTTCGTTTTTCAAGTACTTGTTTTAGGATGAATATCTGATCTAGCTTACTCTTCCCTCTCCTGAATCCTGTTTGATGGTCACCTATTATGTTTTCATAATACGGATATATCCGATTCAGCAGAATATTAATCATTATTTTATAGGCGACTGGAAGAAGTGCTATGCCTCTGTAATTGCCACATTCATACATGGAGCCCTTCTTAAGGATAGGACAGATTAACCCTTGTTCCATGCTTCTGGTATCCGTTCCTTCTCCCATATCTTCTGGATTAGATCTAACAGCTTGGCTTTGAGTTCTTCTCCCCCATCCTTGAACAATCTGATGGTAGGTTGTCTACTCCTGGAGCCTTTCTTCTTTTAAGTCTGCTGATAGCTGTTTCTACATCCAGAATATCTGGTTTTTCAACCTCAAGTGGGTTGATGTCCTCAGGGTGGTCCATGTCTTCTTCGTTTGTGGGGTGCCCTTGATTAAGCAGCTGCTGGAAGTGTTCCTTCCAGATGCTTAGAATCTTTTCTTTTGATGCCGTCAATTTGCCGTCTTTTCCTCTCATTTGTGTATTTCTCGCTTTATATCCTACCCTTTCTTTTCCAATTCAAATTCAACCTTTTCCTAGTCAACTTCAACCTTTTCCATTTCAAATTCAACTTTCAAATTTTTGTCAATTTTCGAAATGAAGGCCACTTACTATATTATCGAAAGCATAGCTTTTGAAAAATACTAAAAAAAATATGATAATGCGGTTGGATATCCATTTATTTTAACTTTTTAGATTTTTTCAGTATAATATTTCTATGTCATATTCAATTTTTTCCAAGTCAAATTCAACTTTTTCCAAATAAATTCAACCATTTCCAATTCAAATTCAACCGTTCCTATTTCAAATTAATGTTTCGAATTTTTGTAAATTTTTGATTATTTAAAATAAGGCGCATTCCTCCCCCCTACTGATTTATTGTACCTATTCCGATTTATTAGGGTCTAGTATTATGCTGTCGTGAGCCTACTTTTTAAAAATGACCTTTTTATGATTACGCCACCGCATTTCGACTTATTTAAGTTTTTTGGATTTATTCGATATAAGTGTGTATTCCTATGTTTCCGGAGTCGTAGATTTTCAAAATTACCTCCATTTTATGATTACGCCAACGCGTTTCGACTTATTCAAGTTTTTCGGATTTATTCGATATAAGAGTGTATTCTTATGTTTTCGGAGCCGTAGTTTTTGAAAATGATATCCTTTTTAAAATTATGCCACTGTTTTGTTTATATAACTTTTTTGGATTTATTTGGTATAAGGAACTACTTATAAGCTATCGGATACATAGTATTTGAAATTTATTTAATCTCTTAAAATCTTATATAAGTCGAAACGCAGCGATGTAATCTTGAAGTAAAGGTCGTTTTCAAAATCGACGGCTCCGGGAACATAAGAATACAATCTTATATCGAATAAACCTAAAAAACTTATTCGGATTTATTCGATATAAGATTGTATAAAATGATCTGCATTTTAAGAGTATGCCACTGCGTTTCGACTTGCTTAATCTTTCCGAAGTTATTCAATGTAAGGATCTACTTCTATGTTATCGGAGACGTAGTTTTTGAAAATGATATCCTTTTTAAAAATATGCCACTGTTTTGTTTATATAACTTTTTTGGATTTATTTGGTATAAGGAACTACTTATAAGCTATCGGATACATAGTATTTGAAATTTATTTAATCTCTTAAAATCTTATATAAGTCGAAACGCAGCGACGTAATCTTGAAGTAAAGGCCGTTTTCAAAATCGACGGCTCCGGGAACATAAGAATACAATCTTATATCGAATAAATCCGAAAAACTTATATAAGTCGAAATGCAGCGACTTAATCGTAAAATGGAGGTAATTTTCAAAATCTACAGCTCCAGAAGCATAAAAGTAGACCCTTATATCAAATAAATTTGAAAAACTTAAATAAGTCGAAACGCGGTGGCGTAATTTTAAAATGGAGGACATTTTCAAAATCTACGGCTCCGGAAACGTAAAAGTAGACCCTTATATCAAATAAATTCGAAAAAGTTAAATAAATCGAAACGCAGTGACTTAATCATAAAATGGAGGTCATTTTCAAAATCTACGGCTCCGGAAACATAAAATTAGATCCTTATATCTAATAAATTCGAAAGAGGCAAATAAGTCGAAACGCAGTGACTTAATTGTAAAATGGAGATCATTTTCATAATCTACGGCTCCGGAAATATAAGAATACACCGTTATATGGAATACATCCGAAAAATGTAAATAAGTTGAAACGCAGTGGCTTAATCTTAAAATGGAGGTCATTTTCAAAAACTACACAGACCCATACATAAAAACTGACCCATGCATCGAAAAATTAAAAGTAGTAAAAAAATAAAAAATAAAAAAAAAGTTGAATTTGAAATGGAAAAGGTTTAATTTGAAATGGAAAAGGTTGAATTTGACTTGGAAAAAGTTTAATTTGATTTGGAAAAGGTTGAAATTGACTTGAAAATGCTATATTTCCAGCCTCCCAGTTTTCCTCAATAGTTTTTAATCTTTCTTTGAGGAATTCTCTTTTGGCTGTTCTTATTATTTTGTTTGTATTTTTCATGGTGGCTGTGTATTTGTCCAGCATAACTTGATCAGTTAGTAAGCAGAAGACTTTTCTTCTTTCCTCCACTGCTTCTTTGCATGCTTCTGTGAACCATTTCTTGGCTTTTCTTTTTTTCCTGGATCCCCATTACTTTCTCAGCTGTTTGTTTTAGGCCTGACTCTAATCCCTCCCAGTGTTGGTCAACCGTGAGAACTTCCGAATTCAAGGGTTCGAATTTATTTTTCAGCTGATAAAGAAAACCAAATAGCTGTAATCGCCTTACACAAAGATGGAAAATGTAGGTCAGAGATTTTAAACCCTTTGAAACGTTTGGGTATCAGCCGTATGTTTGTGTTCCGCACTATAAATAGATATAATGAGACTCTATCTGTATGTGACAAACCTTGACAGGGCCGTCCCCGCACTGTGAGAACAGCAAATGCAGTGAGAGCAGTGACTGCTTGAATCAAAATAAACCCCATTCGAAAACAACAAATCATGTCTCGGGAAATGAGAATCTCTGTCAGATCAATGTCCCACATAATAAAAAGTGACCTTAGGGTGGGTGCATTTAGAAAAATGACAGGACAAAGGCTAAGCACTTCCCAAACGATTTTGTTCAGCGATGAGAACATTTTTACAATTGAAGAAAAATTTGACCACCAAAATGATCATGTGTACGCAGACCACTCTAAAGAAGCCCAGGATGTCACTGGAAGAATGAAAGA